AATAACTGTTTTAAAATCGAGTTTTTATTGGTGGGTTTTAACATCAATGTTATTGTATTATCGATGTTTTAATTTTTTATGCTTTCTGTCTAAATGTTCTTTCATGTTTATGTTTTAATTTGGTTAGGTTAATTTATAGTTATATGTTATTGTCTTGTTGTTATCTCTTAGTTTTCACATGTATGTACAGCATTGATTTTGCCTTTATAATGTTGGAAATCTCTTTGAGTTTCCTTAAGCCAGTATTTCTCAACCTGGGGGTTGGGACCCCTGGGGGGAGGGTTACAAGGGGGTGTCAGAGTGGTCACCAAAGACCATCAGAAAACACAGTATTTTCTGTTGCTCATGGGGTTTCTGTATGGGAAGTTTGGCCCAATTATATCGTCAGTGGGCTTCAGAACTTTATTTGATTGTAAGTGAACTATAAATCCCAGTAACTACAACTCCCAAACATCAAGGTCTATTTTCCCCAAACTCAATCAGTGCGCATATTTGGGCAAATTGAGTATCTGTGCCAAGTTTAGTCCAGATCCGTCATTATTTGAGTCCACAGTGCTCTCTGGATGTAGGTGAACTACAACTCCAAAACTCAAGGTCATTCCCCACTTAACACTTCTAGTATTTTCTCTTGGTCATGGGAGTATTTTCTCTTGCTTATGGTTCAATCTCATCGCTGGCGGAGTTCAGAATGCTCTTTGATGTTCAGAATGTAGGTGAACTATAAATCCCAGCAACTACAACTCTCAAATGACAAAATCACCCACCCACCCCAAGCCCACCAGCATTCAAATTTGGATGTATCGGGTATGTGTGCCAAATTTGATCCAGTGAATGAAAATACATCCTACATAGCAGATATTTACATTATGATTCATAACAGTCGGCAAATTACAGTTATGACGTAGCAACAGAAATAATTGTATGGTTGGAGGTCACCACAAAATGAGGAACTGTATCAAGCATTAGAAAGGTTGAGAAACACTGCCCTAGGGGGAGAAAATTATATTACATGTAATATTACTGATAATATTACAGTACTAGCTTATTACAATAATATTACAATACTACAATATTACAATACCCGCCACGCGTGGCTGTGGCCAATCTTCCCTCCCTCTGTCTCTCCTTCTTCCTTTCTCTCCTTCCTTCCCTCTTTTTCTTTCCCATCTTTCTCTTCTTCTTTCTTCCTTCTCTACCTGTTTCTTCTCTACCTCCCTTCCTTTGCTCTTTGGTTCCATCCTTCCTTCTCTCCTTCCTTCCTTCCTTCCCTCTTTCGTTCCTTCTCTCCTTCCTTCCCTCTCTCTTTCCTTCCTTCTTTCACTTTTTAATTTTCTTCTCTCCTTCCTTCCTTCTCTACCTTTCTTTCTTTCCTTCTCTCCTTCCCTTCTTCTTTCCTTTCTCTCTCTCCTTCCTTCCTTCCTTCCTTCCTTCCTTCCTTCCTTCCTTCCTTCCTTCCTTCCATCCTTCCCCCTTTCTGTGTATTTGTGTTTTGTTTGTATATATATGCATATATGTATGTGTATATATTTGTGTATGTGTGTATATATGTGTGTTTTTGTCTATATGTGGTTTTGTGTATGCATTGTAATGTATTTTTTGCTTTTTTGGCTTTTTAAGACTCTTTTTGCTGTGTTTTTCAATGTCTTTATGAGTGATGGTCATGCGTTTGCCTGATAGGTGTCTTGTGACTAAATCTGGTGTCAATTTGTCCAGTTGTTTTTAAGTTATGTTAATCCCACAAACAAACATTGTTGTTGTTGTTTATTCATTCAGTCGTCTCCGACTCTTCGTGACCTCATGGACCAGCCCACGCCAGAGCTCCCTGTCGGCCGTCACCACCCTCAGCTCCTTCAAGGTCAGTCCAGTCACTTCAAGGATGCCATCCATCCATCTTGCCCTTGGTCGGCCCCTCTTCCTTTTGCCTTCCACTTTCCCCAGCATCATTGTCTTCTCCAAGCTTTCTCCTCATGATGTGGCCAAAGTACTTCAACTTTGTCTCTAGTATCCTTCCCTCCAATGAGCAGTCGGGCTTTATTTCCTGGAAGATGGACTGGTTGGATCTTCTCGCAGTCCAAGGCACTCTCAGAACTTTCCTCCAACACCAGAGTTCAAAAGCATCGATCTTCCTTCGCTCAGCCTTCCCTAAGGTCTAGCTCTCACATCCGTAGGTTACTACAGGGAATACCCTGGCTTTGACTAGGCGGATCTTTGTTGCAGGTCTGATGTCTCTACTCTTTACTATTTTATCGAGACTGGACATTGCTCTCCTCCCAAGAAGTAAGCGTCTTCTGATTTCCTGGCCACAGTCTGCATCTGCAGTAATCTTTGCGCCTAGTAATCTTTGTGCCTAGGTAGCACATAGTGCAGGCTAAATGCTGGTTACCAAAAGGAGAGTCTTTCTGAGATAGAGTGAGATCGAGAGAGAGGAAAAAGGAAGGCCTTGGAAATCCGAAATCCTAAATCCGTGAATGGGGGAGTGCTCCTTGGTTTCTTAGCCTGAAGGAAATGGTTTAATACAGATTAGCCAGCTCTCCTTTTACCAGCCTGTCCTATTGACAGTGGTGCAATTGTTGCTGAGAGATCAAAAGGATAATTTTACTTCCTTGACCTGCAGGGCAGGCATCTGGACAGAAGGGGAGTCTTGGGTCAGTGGCTACAGCAGGGAAAGAGGCAGAGAAACCCTTCCGCTCCCCTCCCAAGCCTTTCCTTTGCGCTCAGCAGGTGGGCCGAGGGGAGGGCACAGGAGGCAACTGCCTCAAGAAAGATTGGATTATTTCTTGATTAAGGTGTCTTTCTAAGGCAAAGGTGCCAATTGCAAGATCTGTGGGTCAAAATCTGGCCTGCGAAGTTTATTTACATTTATTTATTTATTTGTATTGTCGAAGGCTTTCATGGCCGGAATCACTGGGTTGTTGTAGGTTTTTTCGGGCTATATGGCCATGTTCTAGAGGCATTCTCTCCTGACGTTTTGCCTGCATCTATGGCAAGCATCCTCAGAGGTAGTGAGGTTTGTTGGAACTAGGAAAATGGGTTTATATATTTATTTATAATTTATTTATTTACAGCTTTTATATTCCGCCCTTCTCACCCCGCAGGGGACTCAGGGCGGATTACAGTGTACACATATATGGCAAACATTCAATGCCAATTTTTGACATACAAACATATACAGACATACACAGAGGCTATTTAACTTTTTCTGGCCGCCAGGGGAGCTGTTCCTTTCCTCGTCCATCTGCGACGCTGATGAAGCACTTCCGCATTCTCCGCATGCTTCCCCTCTGGAATGCTTTGCTGGAGTCTTCTTTATGGCCTCATAAATCAGTTAATTTAGCCTCTCCACACTTTTTAAGGTGGTACCTTATTTTCCTACTTGACAGATTCAACTGTCTTTCGGGTTGCAAAGGTCGACAACAGGCTACACACAATTGGCTGGAAACCCACTCCAACCCAGGCTGGCTTCGAACTCATGACCTTTTGGTCAGAGTGATCTTAATGCAGCTGACACTCAGCCAGCTGCGCCACAATCCTGGTGCTATATCTGTGGAATAACCAGAGTGGGACAAAGAACTCTTGTCTGTTAGAGCTAGGTGTGAATGTTTCAACTGACCACCTTGATTAGCATTTGATGGTCTGGCTGTTTTTTTGGTGTGGCTTGATAGTGCCTGGGGGAATCTTTTGTTGAGAGGTGATTAGCTGTACCTGATTGTTTCTTCTCTGTCAGCCATAGCAGATCACCTGATGAACCAACCTGGACACAGCATATTATTTGAGAACACAGAAATGCTGGACCACTCGAATAATCACCTTGTCAGACTACACAGAGAAGCCACTGAAATCCACAAGCATGTGGACAATTTCAACAGAAAGGAGGAAACCATGAAAATGAACAAAATCTGGCTACCACTATTAAAAAAAACTTTAAAATTACAACAGCAAAACAACAGAGAGGAAACAATCAGGGACAGCTAATCACTTCTCAACAAAAGATTCCCCCAGGCACTAACAAACCACACCAAACAACTGCCAGGCCATCAAATGCTAATCAAGGTGGCCAGTTGAAACATTCACACCTAGCTCCAGCAGACAAGAGTTCTTTGTCCCACCCTGGTCATTCCACAGATATATAAACCCATTTTCCTAGTTCCAACAGACCTCACTACCTCTGAGGATGCTTGCCATAGATGCAGGCGAAACGTCAGGAGAGAATGCCTCTAGAACATGGCCATATAGTCCGAAAAAACCTACAACAACCCACTCTTTATTTATTTATTTATTTATTTACAGCATTTTTACTCTGCCCTTCTGAACCCCCGAGGGAAGACTCAGAGCAGCTAACATTGGCAACAATTCGATGCTGCAATACCAATATAACAACAATATAAAACCATAAATATGCAAAAGATTAAAAAGAAAACATTAATTATACAGACACGTAGACTTTTCCGTTATCATAACAATCATGCTCCAATTCAATGTCCAAAGTGCCACTGTGCCTACTAGCCGAAAGCCTGGTTCCAAAACCACGATTTCATTTTTTTTCTAAAGTAAAAAATCAGTGCCATTATACAATTAACAACAGTACATAAACAGAGGCAAAACTTCCCTCTTTTTCATCTCTGACATCTGGAGGCTGTGCTTCCGACTATGGGGAGGTGCTGTTTTTCTATTTTCCATGCTGAGGAGGCTGTTCTCCATGATCAAATTGTCGGAATGTCTTCATGGGCGCCTTTTTACCTCCTCGCCAAAGTGGTACCTATTGATCTATTCACATTACTGTTTTTGAACTGCTAGGTAAGCAGAAGCTTGGGCTGATGGTGGGAGCTCACCCTGACCCACGGTTAGAACTGCCAACCTTCTGGTCAGCAAGATTTTCTGCAGCTGGTGGTTTAACCCATTGTGCTACCACAGCCCCCTCCCTGTCTTAGAAGAAAGTTCTCCAGTGAGGTATATCTTCCTTGTAAATGCTGTCATGGGTTCTAATGGCCTCTTTTCCTCAGCAGCCAGTGTCCCTTGTCGACAGAGGCGTGTCGGAAATGACCCTGTGGGATGCTCCCAGTGCCATTGTGGGCTCCTGGGTTCTCCTGTTTCTGTTCCTTGCTCCGCTCTCCTGCCATTTGTGCCCCGTCCCCTGCGAGTGCTCCGAACCGGCCCGCACGGTCAAGTGCGTCCAGAAGGAGCTGACCTCCATCCCTGTTGGCCTCCCCAGGTACACCCGCAACCTCTTCATCACAGGCAACCAGATCGGACGCATCGGCAGCCAGGACTTCCATGGGCTGCCCAACCTGGTTACTCTCTCACTGGCCAACAACAGGTAATGCTCGGCTGGATCTTGGGGATAATGGTTTTTCAGATGACTGGAGCAGAGGAATAGCATACTGTAGTGATTCATACCTTTGGTAGGCCGCAGCCTAGAAGTCAGTGAGCCAGCCTCCATGTTGGTAAGGCAGCTCAGTGTAGCAGACATCTTAGGAGAGGCAGCTAAGCAGAGTGGAGGAGCCCATCTATCTCCTGATTGGTTAAGACCAGGGGCGGCTCGTCCATTACGCGAAGTAAGCGGTCGCAGACCACTTTTTTTGCCAGGGGCGCAGAGGCGCCTCTATAAATGCCCCTCGACCGCCACTTTAGGAGCGCCCCCTCAGCTCACAACAGCCCTAGCAGTCCGGGGGGAGCCTCGGCTTTCTTTCGGCACACAGAACTCCCACGACAAATAGAAAATATATATCAATGATTGGTTGGGGGGGGGGGTGCCAAAATACTGTTTGCTTACCATTGAAAATTACCTAGGGCCGCCTCTGGTTAAGACCAATGGGAGGAGTTGGAGGGAGAGAGTGTAAAAAGGCTGTCAGTTTTGACAGGAAAGGAGAAGAGTTTTGACACAGGGAGAGAAAGAGTTTTGACAAGAAAGGAGAAGGGTTTCTGATAGAGAAGAAGAAGGATTTCTGACAGGGAGAAGAGGGTAGATTTTCTTAGTGAGCTAAGAGTTTGCCTGTTAGAGAATAGTTTAAGGCAGGTGCTTCCACAGAGATTGACTAGGTGAGTCAAAGTGAAGACCAGTGTTCTTGTGTTAACTTAGGACACAAGTTGTTATATTCTCTTAGGGACAGAGTAGTCTAGGGAAACTTAGATACTCTGGGAGACAGCCAAGAGAGGCTTGTCGAAGGGACTCACTGCTACAAGGTATAGAGTGAGGGAAGTAGCTCATGTTAAAGAAAGGAAACTCAGTTGAAAGAAACCATTTCATAAGAAGATTGTGCTTCAGTAACAAAATACGCTTGTGTACCTCATAGAAGTCAGTTGTATGTTTCAGAGATCTTAATAAACTTATTCTACAGTTCACTGTTTAAACTGCCTCAGCCTTGATTCATTATATAAGATAAGTTCCAGTAATTTTTAACATCTTTACAATTCAGTCACTTGAAGGGAGAAAAAGAAGGAGCTGGTGTATAAGGAGCTTTACCTCAAGTTTAACAACATCAAGACAATTTCTCAAACCAAAGTTTGAGTGGTGGCAGCAACCTTACCATTACACACTCAAGTTTCCATAACACAGGATTGTGTTAGTGTTCAGACAGAACCTAAATAAGTAAAATCCTGTACCCTGATCTTTCGGAGTGGTGGTCAGCTGTGAGATGTATAACAGCTGAAGGAACGTGTGTGGGTGTGTGTGTGTCTGAGGGGATCTATTAGTGAGATATTAGTTCAGGATCCTCTTCAGTCTTTACAGTGACCATGTAATTGGTAAAAGCAGGTGGGATTAGGTGTTTTACTCCCATGCTGCGTTGGAAGTCCATGAGTGGGCCCCCCGGTGTTCCGTTAAACATATTGTGACCAAACTGGGGGAAAGTAGGACTTCATTCAGTGCTCCACTACTGCTAAAGTTTGAACATGACTATGAAATGGGCAAATCGCGGTCATTCAACCCTGTCAGATGTTGCTGAGCTGCAACTCCCATCATCCTACGGCATTGACAATCTCCGGTTCAGGAAGCAATGTTCTCAAAGCGTAGAAATGTTAGTTAGAATAACAGAATTGCTCACCATGAAAATAACGTTGTTTGGTCTGAGAAGCACATAACCAGGCAATGCAGTTATAGGTAAAGCAATTCAAATATTTCACAAGCTTTCGTCCCATTTTTATTGTGTCAGAAGCGAACTGAAAATACAGTTATAATGTTTACAAAAATGACAAAGTTAAAAACGTAGCATTGTACTAAATGTCCTTTGACCAGAAGCTGGCCACTTGGAGTGCCTCTGGTGTTGCTGTGAGAAGGTCCTCTGTTGTGCATGTGACAGTGCTCAGACTGCATTGTAATAGGTGGTCTGTGGTTTGCTCTTCTCCACAACCACATGCCATGGACTTCTCTTTGTGGCCCCATTTTTTAAAGTTGGCTCTGCATCTCGTGGTGCCAGAGCGCAATGTGTTCAGCGCCTTCCAAGTCGTCCAGCCTTCTGTGTGCCCAGGGGGAGTTTATCATCCAGTCTCAGCCATGTATTGAGGTTCCAGGTTTTTACCTGCCAGTGCTTGACAGCTGTAATGGACTGGATGAGAGCGAACAAATTGAAACGAAATCCAGACAAGACAGAGGTCCTCCTGGTCAGTAGCAAGGCCAAACAGGGCATAGTGTTACAGCGTGTGCTTGATGGGGTTACATTCCCCCTGAAGGCGCAGGTTCACAGCTTGCGAGTGATCCTGGACTCATCCTTGAGCCTGGAACTGCAGTTTTCGGTGGTGACCAAGGGAGCATTTGCACAATTAAAACTTTGTGCACCAGCTGCGCCCATACCTTGGGAAGTCTGACTTAGCCACGGTGGTCAATGCTCTGGTTATATCCTGAATAGACTATTGCAATGCACTCTACGTGAGGTTGCCTCTGAAGACTGCCTGGAAGCTCCAACTAGTCCAACACTCGGCAGCCAGGTTGCTCACCAGAGTAGGGTACAGGTAGTGCACAATGCCCTTGTTATGCCAGCTCCACTGGCTGCCTATTAGCTTCAAAGCACAATTCAAAGTGCTGGCTTTGGCCTTTAAAGCCCTGAACAGTTCTGGCCCAGTTTACTTGTCCAAACGTATCTCCTGCTACGATTCACCTAGGACCCTGAGGTCATCCGGGGAGACCTTTCTCGTTGTCCCCCCATCATCGCAATCGCGTTTGGTGGGGACAAGGGACAGGGCCTTTTCTGCTGTGGACCCTTGGCTGTGGAATTCCCAAATAAAATTAGATCAGCTCCATCCCTCCTGACCTTTCGGAAACAAGTGAAATCCTGGCTATGGGATCAGGCCTTTGCAGACTAGGCTGACGTGCTGTCAAAGCGATGGCTTTAATGGACTTGACAAACTGCTTTTATGACGATTGCTTAAAATAATAATAATAATAATAATAATAATAATAATAATAATAATAATAATAATAATAAAGCTTTATTTGTACCCCGCTACCATCTCCCCAAGGGACTCGGTGCGGCTTACATGAGGCCGAGCCCAAAAACAAGCAATAATAACAACAATACAAGCAATTAAAATAAAACATGGACAATAAAATAACGAACCATAACAATAAGACAACACACAATTAAAACTAAGGGAAGGCCAAATGTAGAATTAAAATTGAGAATAATGTTGGAACATGGGCGAAAAAAAGTGCTGGGGCATTTGTGGAAAACATAAATCGCTGACTGTTTGAATGTTTTATACTGTTTTTATATTGTTTTTATTTAAATTGTATATTTTTGGTTTTGGTTGTGGGCACTATGGTGTGTCGGTTGTTAGCCACCCTGAGTCCCTCTGCGCAGGTCGAGATAGGAGGGGATACAAATATCCGAAATAATAGTAATAATGATGATGATCTCAGCCAGCATTTGGAAACAGTAAATATTGACAAAATCACGATCTGTCAACTGCAAAAAGCCACCTTACTTGGATCTGCGCGCATCATTCGAAAATACATCACACAGTCCTAGACGCTTGACTTGTGTTTTTTTTATATGAAATCCAGCATATAGATCTTGTTTGCTGTGACATACTGTGCTTTTGTGTCAATAATAATAATAAAGTCTGTAGAAACGAGGGTGGGGGAATTTGCATCCGATGGAGTCCTAAACCACAATGTATCTTTGTAAACTGGACAGATAATTCTACCTCCGCTGGCTAGAGGCACGGGGCACTCTATTCCATGCCACTCACTGTGCTCCCCAGTTTGTGTTTGTGTAACCTGCCAGGTTTGGAGTGAGAAATATAGGCATTACCATGGCAACAGGCTTGTTGGAGGCTGCGGGCAAAACGCCAGGAGATGTGCTGGTGCCCTCTCTCATGTCTGGTGGTGGTGAGAGGCACCGGAGGAATCCATACTGCATGTTGGATTCCTGAAACCAGAAATACGGAGCTCCCAATGCTGTTCCAACCGATCACAGGACTTTAGGGGGTAACTATATGTAAGATTCGCAGTAGGAGAGTCCCCCTTACCCAGAGAGCGGAGATGAGCCCTCCTGTCCATGTGGTGTGGTGTGTCCAGTTCCTCCATAGCAGAAATGGAAGAAAAAGCAGCTATTTATTTGTCGTGTCAGGGCAACCACTCAATTGTATTACAATTCTAACAGAACAAAACAAACAAACAGACAAAATACAGAATTTGCAAGTTTGGTAGTTGATTAAATGTCCTTTGACCAGTATCTGGCCACTTGGAGTGCCTCTGGTGTTGCTGCAAGGAGGTCCTCCACTGTACATGTGGCGGGGCTCAGGTTGCATTGCAGCAGGTGGTCTGTAGTTTGCTCTTCTCCACACTCGCATGTCATGGATTCCACTTTGTAGCCCCATTTCTGAAGGTTGGCTCTGCATCTCGTGGTGCCAGAGCGCAGTCTGTTCAGCGCCTTCCAAGTCGCCCAGTCTTCTGTGTGCCCAGGGGGGAGTCTCTCATTTGGTATCAGCCATTTGTTGAGGTTCTGGTTTTGAGCCTGCCACTTTTGGACTCTCGCTTGCCGAGGTGTTCCAGCGAGTGTCTCTGTAGATCTTAGAAAACTATTTCTAGATACACTGCTTAGCCAGTATTGCACCACCAATAGCAGCCAATAGTGAAAGGACCAAGGCAGAGACATCTCCAGCTCATCCTGTTTGGGTATCGGCCAGCACGTCAACGACTTAAATCTAGAAAAAGCAGCTGTCAGGAAGGAACCCTACACAGCCAGTTGGCTCGATTAACTGCGTTATATGAGTCTACTACACTGACCATATAATGCACTTTCAAACTGGCAGTGGGGCCTCCTCTTGGCACTTTTCTATTCATGTAAAACAGAGCTTTCCAAACTGTGTGTTGTGACACATTCGTGTGCTGGCTGCAGTATGTAAGTTGTTGTTTTTTTTGTCGTGTCAGGAGCGACTTGAGAAACTGCAAGTCGCTTCTGGTGTGAGAGAATTCGCCGTCTGCAAGGACGTTGCCCAGGGGATGCCCAGATGATTTGATGTTTTATCATCCTTGTGGGAGGCTTCTCTCATGTCCCTGCATGAGAAGCTGGAGCTGATAGAGGGAGCTCATCCACCTCTCCCCGGATTCAAACCTGCGACCTGTCGGTCTTCAGTCCTGCCGGCACAGAGGTTTAACCCACTGCGCCACCGGGGGCTCCATGGCAGAAATGGAAGAAAAAGCAGCTATTTATTTGTCGTGTCAGGGCAACCACTCAATTGTATTGCAATTCTAACAGTGTGTAAGTGTGTCACACATTAGTGTGCTATTTTATGTATTTATTTATTTACTATATTTATATGCCGCTTTTCTGCCCCCGAGGGAAATCAAAGCGGTTTCCAACATTATAAAGGCAAAATTCAATGCTGTACATACATGTGTAAACCAAAAAATAATAGCAATAATAACATTCTAACTATAGATTAACCTAACCAAATTGAAACATAAATATAGAAGAACAGTTAGACATAAAGCATAAAAAAATTAAAACATCAATAATACAATAATATTTATATTAAAAACCACCGATAAACAACACAATTTAAAAACAGTTACTAAAATCATGCCATACAAAATCAAGTCCTGCTTGCTGCAGTGTGTGTGTTGCACGTTAGTGTGCTGGCTGCAGTGTGTGAGCATGTTATACATTAGTGTGCTGGCTGCAATGTGCACGTATGTCACACATTAGTGTGCTGGCTGCAGTGTGTAAGTATGTCACACATTAGTGTGCCGGCTGCATTGTCAGAGGGGTCGCCAAAGACCATCAATTTTTTGCATATTTTTGCATATTAGTTTGGCATATTTTTGCATATTAGCTTTTTGCATATTAGTTTGGCAGTTGCAGTGCGTGTGTCACACATTAGTGTGCTGGCTGCATTGCGTAAGTTTTTCACACGTTAGTTTGCCAGCTGAGTATGTAAGTGTGTCACACATCAGTGTGCCGAATGCATTGCGTAAGTGTGTTGCACATTAGTGTGCTGGCTGCAGTATGTAAGTGTGTCACACATTAGTGTGCCGGATGCATTGCGTAAGTGTGATGCACATTAGTGTGCTGGCTGCAGTGTGTGTGTCACACATTAGTGTGCTGGCTGCAGTGTGTAAGTGTATCGCACGTTAGTATGCTGGCTGCAGTATGTAAGTGTGTCACACATTAGTGTGCCGGATGCATTGCGTAAGTGTATCGCACATTAATGAGCTGGCTGCAGTGTGTAAGTGTGTCACACGTTAGTGTGCTGAATGCATTGCATAAGTGTGTCGCACATTAGTGTGCTGGCTGCAGTATGTAAGCATGTTTCACAAATGTAACAAGAGATAACAAAAGTCTTGGAAATGTATGCTGTTATCTTGCAAATCATGCATTTTTAAACAATATAAATGAAAGGTTTTCATGAGATTTGTTGTATCCCCATATTTTTCATTGTTACACTTTTTGTATGTGTCCATATCTCTTATGAAGGGTTGGTTTAACCTCCAGTTTGCTAGTAAAACCGAAGCATGGTCTTGATCAGTCATTGGTGAGGGTTGCAGTGGTCTCAGCAAGTGAGTAAAGGTACTGCAAGTCCCATCATCCATGCTCCATCTGCCTCCAAACCGCACCAGGATGTAGAGTGGGTCATGGGGGCTCTGTGTGCCAAGTTTGGTCTTGATTCATCATTATTGGGGGTTGCAGTGGTCTCTTAAAGTGAGTGAAGTTACTGCATCTTCCAGCATCCATTGTCCATCCTCCCCCAAACTGCACCAGGATGTAGTGTGGGTCATTGGGGGGGGGGGGGTCTGCATGTCAAGTTTGGTCCAGGTCTGTGATTTGTGGGGGGCCACAGTATTCTGTGGGAAGCAAATTGAGTGATGGTACTGCAAATCCCATAGTCCGTGGTCCATGTTCTCCCAGTCTTCACTGGGGCGTAAGCTGGGTCATGGGGGTTATGTATGTCAACTTTAGTCCAGGTCCATCATTCATGCTGGTTCCAGTGGACACACGAAGTGAGTGAAGGTACAGCAAGTCCTATTCTCTGTGGTCCATCATCCTCCAAATTGCACCAAGATGTAGAGTGGGTCATAGGGCTGTGTGTGCCAAGTTTGGTCCTGATCTATCATTGGCAGGGGTTGCCGTGATCTTTGGAAGCCAAAGCAATGGAAAGTACTGCAAATCCCATCAACCGTGGTCCATCCTCCCTCAAACCACACCAGGACATAAAGTGTGTCATGGGGGTTATGTGTGCCAAGTTTGGTCCAGGTCCGTCATTTGTGGACATTTCAGTGGTCTGTGGAAGTGGCAGCCAATCAGAAAGCTGCCACATACATACCCATATACCCACATACATACATACAAACACTGACTTTTATTATATACATAGATAGATGTCAGAAATGAATTGAGGGTACAGTTGTAATGTATTTAAAAACACAAACAAAGTTAAAAACATGGCATGATACTAAATGTGCTTTGACATTGGAGAATGGAGAGCAGAGAGGGGGTAATCTGGCCTTCCTCAGGTGGAAGTTCCTCGTTTCAGAGCAGCCACCAAAAAGGCGCTCTTATTAGTCTTCATGCAATATGCCCATGACTTGTAGGGCTGAGTACCTCAAACCGTGGGCATGTTGGATCCAAACAGCATTTATCTGATGTACATATTTCTTGATGTCTTGTCCTAACATGTGCATTTTTGTGTACAATATTGGAGATGAGAACCACATTAGTATGATCCATAAATCCTGTCCAGTCTGCATGTTGCTCCAGGAAATAGGAATGAGATCAGCTTGGTTAAAAATGATGGACCAAACAAAGCTCTCTTCCATATTTAGTGCTTTGATGGATAAAGCTATTTTCTTCACATTGTGTTTCATCTGGGGTTCTTTTTCAATGTTTTGATCTCCTCTGTTTTCTTCTTTCAGAATCAACCTTGTGGAGTCACAGGCCTTCTCCGCTCTCCACCACCTGAGATACTTGGACTTGAGTCATAATGACTTAACTTCCATCCACCCGGATGCTTTCAGTGCTAGGAACAACTCCATCCAGGAACTGAACCTTAGCTATTCCCTGTACAACTCCTCTGTCATTCGCCCTGTGGCAACCGCCCTTGCCCAAGGTGGCTTCCAGAACCTCACCAGGCTAGAGCTCACCAGCAATGAGATTGTCTATTTGCCGTTCCACATGTTGTCCGGCCTCTCCAAATTGGAACATTTAGACTTGAGGAACAACTCCTTGGTGGACATCAGAAACTCCACTTTTTCAGCCCTTGACCTAAAATATCTTGATTTGACAATGAATGCCTTCAAGACCTTGAGAAGCGAAGCCTTGTCTGCCCTTAGTAGACAACGTCATCTCCACCTTTTCCTGAAGGACAACCCTTTTGTCTGTGATTGTAACATTGAGGACCTGCTGAGCTGGCTGAACCGAAGCCAGCAGGTCGTAGATGTGGAAAAGCTCACCTGTGCCTTCCCTCAATCTTTGAAGAACACAACCCTGGTGGAGTTGGTTGGGGCGAGTCTCGACTGCCACTTCGGACAGCATGGGGAAAACACTCTTCACACCTCATATGCTGCCCTAGGCATTGTTCTAGGTGTCATCGGAGTCATCTTCCTCTTTGTGCTTTATCTGAATCGGAAAGGCATCAAGACGTGGATGAATACTGTAAGGGATACCTGCCAGAACTTAATGGATGAGTACCGCTATCATTATGAAATTGACACAGATCACCGTATCACTCAAGTCTCTGCACTGGACATATGATGCTGTTTGGAGGGGGGGGGGGGGATTGGAGTCCTGTAAAGATTTGTGCTGTTGTTGCTTCTGTTCATGATTGGGACACCAAACTTTGTTTGGGACAGTCTCTTTCTGAGAAACTCTGTGTGACTGGGAAAAAAACCCTAAAGCTTGAAAGGCAGAAAAACTCTGGATTAGACTCTTATATGTATGATCCTGAGGACATTTCTTTCTTTGTAAACATTCTACAGAACTTGACTAATTCAAATGTAAACTTGCTGGGAAATTGTTCCATCCCCACTGTAAGTTCTGCCAAAAAAATTTGGTGAGGAAAGTCAAATTTCTGAAGTGGCATCACCGGATATCGAGACTTCCGAAAGCCCATATGTCTGGGAGCTTTTTTCCAGTCTAGGCATTGTGTTTTAACTGTGTTTTATTCCAACAGAACTGTTTATCTGTTTTGTTCATTAACGAACTGGACCCCCGAATGTTGTATCACGTGTGGCTGAATGGCCTTATTTGATATACGCGGACAAAATGACTGAAGGAATCATTTTAGACAGGCAACTGTTGTTCTGGAAGTTTTTGCCCACCTTCTTTATCTACTTTATAAGAACAATTTCATCCAAATGGTGTAACAGTTGTGTATTGAATGAGGACCATTGTTTCTCAACCTGGGGGTTGGGATCCCTGGAGGGGGTCATGAGGGGGGTTTCAGAGTGGTCATCAAAGACCATCAGAAAACATATTTCTGATCATCTTAGCAACCCCTTTGGCAGAGAAGGTTGAAGATCTCTCTGCCTGTCCTCTTCCTTTTTGGAAACAGGGCAAATCCTCCCACCAAAACACAGTATTTCTGTTGGTCATGGGGGTCCTGTGTGGGAAGTTTGGTTCAGTTCCATTGTTGGTAGAGTTCAGAATGCTCTTTGATTGTAGGTTAACTATAAATCCCAGCAAGTACGACTCCCAAATGTCAAGGTCTATTTTCCCCAAACTCCACCAGTGTTCATATATGGGCATATTGTGTATCTGTGCCAAGTTTGGTCCAGATCCATCATTGTTTGAGTCCACAGTGCTCTCTAGATGTGGGTGAACTACAACTCCAAAAATCAAAGTCAATGCCCACCAAAGCCTTCCACTATTTTCTGTTGGTCGTGGGAGTTTTTGTGCCAAATTTGGTTCAATTCTATCGTTCGTGGAGTTCAGAACGCTCTGTGATTGTAGGTGAACTATAAATCCCAGCAACGACAACTCCCAAATTACAAAATCACCCCCCCCCCCCCCCCCCCGGCCAAAAAAACCTCCACCAGTATTCAAATTTAGGCCTATCGGGTATGTGTGTCAATTTGGTCCAGTGAATGTAAATGCATCCTGCATCTCAGATATTTACATTACGATTCATAACAGTAGCAAAATTATAGTTGTGAAGTAGCAAGGATAATAATGCTATGGTTGGGGGTCACCACAACATGATGAACTGTATTAAGGGTATATCACTGTATTAGGAAGGTTGGGAACCACTGATCTAAACTGTTAGGGAAAACTACCCTAAAATAAAGCAGAGCATCCAAAAACAAACAGGATACAAAACTTGAGCATCAGTGCATTAATGAGCAGAGTGTGAAGTGCCATGTGATGTGGCTGTAAATAATTTTGAGCTTAGAAAGAAAACATGCAGAGTCCAATCTTAAAAACCACAAAATATGTGTTTATAATAATAAGAAATAACTGCATTTCTTAATAATGAAGAACTGGGTCTAAGCTACTCTAACATCCATCTCTTCTATGGTTTTAAGAGAGGGGGAAAATCACCTCATTCTACATCTCTCTGATACACAAGCAGAGAGAGATCTCAAAGCACACAGCACATACTCTCCATACTAAAGTGTAAGAAGGCAGAAGTCAGATTCAAAAAAATTACAGTCAGAATGAGAACTAAAACAGAAGAAATTAGATACATTCCAACTGTCATACAGGAGACATGTAGGAAGGGAATTCCCTCAGCCTAACTGATATTCAATGAGGACTGGAGATAAAAACAGATGATAAAACAGGGGCAGGCTAGCATTACCAAATTTCCAGATATATTACGACGCCTCAGCGCTCAGCTGGATAAGGGATTGGTGCCTTATAGACAATAAAAGAAAATTACTTGCACTGGAGGACTACGATTTAATACAGGGGTGGCATAGTTATGTATGGAGAGGGAAATCAAAAACGGAAAGAAATTTGAAGAGCCACTTTGTAAGAGCAGCCCTCATACAAAAAAGGTAAAGGTAAAGGTAGTCCCCTGACATTAAGTCCAGTCATGTCTGACTCTGGGGTGTGGTGCTCATCTCCATTTCTAAGCCGAAGAGCCAGCGTTGTCCGTAGACACCTCCAAGGTCATGTGGCCGGCATGACTGCATGGAGTGCCGTTACCTTCCCGCCGGAGCGGTACCTATTGATCTACTCACATTTGCATGTTTTCGAACTGCTAGGTTGGCAGAAGCTAGGGCTGACAGCGGAAGCTCACGCCGCTCCCCGGAATCGAACCTGCGACCTTTCGATCAACAAGCTCAGCAGCTCAGTGCTTTAAACCACTGCGCCACCGGGGGCTCCGCCCTCATACAAACTTGGAACAAATATAAAGAAAGGTTTTACACCAAAACTTCATTGTGGTTCTCTCCAAATGAAGCAATTCATATGCGAGAATTACCAGGAGAAAAATGGCTGTCATATAAACAGATACTTAAAGTAGATAGGCAAGTAGCCTCCCTGAAATGACAAGAAGATCTAAAAACATTTGATCAACCTCTTTCCTGGTTTCAGTACTGGCAAATAAAAGAACATTTCTTGATTGATAGAAAAATAGGTTTCGAAACAAATGAGGTGTTTTGGGATAACACCTCCTTTCTTCACAACCATGGACTGCGAGTGGAGAGGGGAGGCCTGGTCTCTGAGAGGTCCCCTCTCTCTTGTGGGGTTCCTCAAGGGGCCATTCTCTCCCCTCTGTTGTTTAACATCTATATGCGACCACTTGCTCAGCTGGTTCGAGGTTTTGGGCTGGAGTGTTACCAGTACGCTGATGACACTCAGCTGGTGCTGAAGATGGAAGGCCGACCGGACTCTGTACCCGATTGTTTCCATCAGTGCCTCGAGGCCGTTACTGGATGGCTGCGTGCCAGCAGGTTGAGGGTGAATCCAGCAAAGACGGAGATCCTATGGCTGGGTCAACCGGGCAGTGGGGATATCCAGCTGCCTACCCTGGATGGCGAGGCGCTACGCCCGTCATCATTGGTAAAGAGTCTGGGAGTCCTTTTGGACCCTCTGCTGACGATGGAGGCCCAGGTCTCCGCCGTTAGCAGAACCGCCTTTTTTCATCTGTGGCAGGCTAGACGGCTGGCCCCCTACCTGTCCAGGGACGACCTAGCTACGGTGATCCAGGCTACGGTCATCTCAAGACTGGACTACTGTAACGCCCTCTACATTGGCCTTCCTCTGTGGTGATCCGGAAGCTCAAGTTGGTACAAAATGCAGCTGCTCGGCTTCTTGCGGGAATTCCGATGAGATGCCACATCACCCCAATCTTCCTGCAGCTGCTTTGGTTGCCAATTGAGCACCGGATCACTTTCAGAGTGATGGGACTCACCTTGAAGGCCTTGCATGGTCTGGGGCCGATGTACCTGAGGGACCGCCTCACCCCCTACCAACCCCAGAGATCCCTCCGTTCTGAGGACCAAGATCTATTGGAAGTCCACCAGTGTCAAGACCTTGCGTCTAACAGCAACCAGACGCAGAGCCTTCACAGCAGTGGCACCATCACTCTGGAATACTCTGCCACCTGAAGTCCGTGCCTTGCGGGACTATCAGCTTTCTGCAGGGCATGTAAGACATATCTGTTTCGACAGGTCTTTGATCTTTGATATTATTGTTTTTAAATTGTGTTAGATTTTTACCTGTTCTTGTAAGCCGCTCCGAGCCCCAGGGGGAGTGGTGGCAGGTAAGTATGAATAATAAATAAATAAATAAAATATTAAAAAAGGAAACAAAATTAACTAAAAACATCTACCAACAACTGCTGAGATGGAAAACAGAAGAGGAACAGGTGAAAGAGGTAATGATTAAATGGGCAAGAGACATAGGAAGAACAAAAAAACATGGGAAGAGATATGGACGAAGAAACTAAAACTAACGTACTCTACGGAATTTAAAGAAAACTGGTACAAGATGTTCTACAGGTGGTATCTAACACCAGAAAAGTTAGCAAAAATCAATAAAGGTAGAACAAGCAATAAATGTTGGAAATGTGGGAAAGATGTTGGCACCTTCATCCATTTATGGTGGAAGTGCAAAAAAAATCAAATCCTTCTGGCGGTCACTTCAAAAAAAGATGGAATTAATTCTGCAAATAAATTTTGATCTCAAGCCGGAGTATTTCCTACTGGTATAACCGATTTTGAAATGGAAATAAGCATAAATAGAATCTTTATCTACCTTATAACAGCAGCCAGGATTAAACTACCACAATTATGGAAAACAAACACAATGTCAACAATAGAAAACTGGCTATTGAAAGATATAATTTTTTTTGTCGTGTCAGGAGCGTCGCTTCTGTTGTGAGATAATTGGCCGTCTGCAAGGACGTTGCCCAGGGGACGCCCAGATGATTTGATGTTTTTATCATCCTTGTGGGAGGCTTCTCTCATGTCCCCGCATGTGGAGCTGGAGCTAATAGAGGGAGCTCATCCTCCTCTCCCCGGATTCGAACCTGCGACCTGTCGGTCTTCAGTCCTGCCGGCACAGGGGTTTAACCCACTGCGCCACCATGGGATATAATGAACATGGATCTACTTACACAAAGACTAACAGACAATAGTACAATGAGACAAAAAACAAATTGGAAAAAATTCACGGAATTTATTAGAAATGAGAACCCAGAAATATATTTGCAAGATGCATAAGAAACCTCAAAAACCAAAATATAAAGAAACTAGAAGGCAAAGAACTAGAAAAATTAAGGAAAAGAATGAAAAACACAACCAGATAAAACCTGGAAGCCATCTTATCTTTCTTCTTATTTTACTTCATTTTTTCCCCTCTTCTATACCCCTATTTTCCCTTTCTTCAACCCTATCCTATTTTCCTACTGTTCTTATGCACACTTTCATTGTAATTTTTTTCTCTTTACAACTTTTTTTTCCTTCACACTCCAGTTTATTGGAGCTTAATTTTACTTTTAAAAAATCAATAAAAACATTTAAAAAATAAGGACTGGACATTTGAGCAGTGCGGGGGTTGAATTCCAACGTAAACATGCTAGGGTTCTTTTTTAATATGCAGGGAAATTTTGGAGACAGGCTGTTACAATGACACTGCCTTGTGATCATCCACCTTTGTTCAGTTATGCAAACCTCTGTGGATGTATTCAGGTTTCAATCCTTGGCGTGTTGACATCTATTGAGAACTAAAACCCACTGAGTTGAGTGAGGCTTTGTG